CCAATCACGGGGCAGACGCTTCGCCGGCGGCGGACGTGCGTGCGCTCACCCCGCGCGCTCGCCGCTGCCCCTCCGCCAATCGGCGGCCGAGGCCGTGCCGCCGCCGGGGGCGCTCGTGCTCTCCAGCCAATCAGCGGCCAGCGCCGCCTGGCGCCCTCCCGCGGCGGGGCGCAGCGCGCAGGCGCAGTGAGCGCCGCTGAGGAGACGGGCCGGCCCTGAGCGGAGCGGGGATCCCTGTCCGCCCCGGGGCCGGCTCTGGTGCCGCCAGAGCGGTGTGGAATGGGGAGGCGGCTTCGTAAAGCCATTTAAACGCCTGGAGGTACCTGCGGAGACGCTGCTCTGGGCCTGAGGGAGACCTGTCAGTGGGACGGGGGGGGCCCGGCACGGGTGGGCTCTGGCGGAGCGCTCCGTGGGGTTACGGTGACCCCCAGGAGCACGGTGTGGTGCTCGTGTGTATTGGACACGCTGGAGGGAAGCGGTGCCATCCACAGGGACCCGGACAGGCTGGAGAGGCGGGCCCGTGTGACCCTCCTGAGGTTCTGTGAGGCCCAGAGCAGGGCCCTGCCCCCGGGTGGGGGCAGCCCCCGGTGCCAGCCCAGGCTGGGGATGGAGGGATGGGGAGCAGCCCTGCCCAGAAGGGCTTGGGGGGGCACAGAAAGCTGGCCATGGGCCATCAATGTGTGCTGGCAGCCCCCCTCCCCTGGTCTGCATCCCCAGCAGCGTGGCCAGCAGGGCACTGTGCACTTCAAGGGTGTGTGTGTCACTTGTGCACCAGGGGGGTCTTCTGACAGCACCCTGCTGTGTCTCCCCGCTTCCCCCGCCAGAGGAACAGTCAGTTTTTCAAATGCCGATGTCCCCTGCTCCATTCTTTGACCATCTGTGCCTGGCTGGGTGACGCCGTTGCGTGGCACTCAGCTGTGTGACGGCTTGGCTCGCTGGCGGAGCGCAGACAGAGTCAGCAGTGACGAGGCCGGGAGTGTTCCCTGAGGAAGGCTGGACAGGATGGGCATCTGGTTCCCGGAGGCTGTGCCTGCAGCCGCCCCCTGGGCAGCCTCCCTCCGGGGAAATGCCACGGTGCCCCCTGCAAAACGTGTCCTGGGCCTGCGGGAGGGGAGCGGGGTTCTTGGGCTGTGTGTGGAGCGGAGGGACTGCTAACATTTGGCGTGTGTGGGAGGGAGATAGGCTGTCATGAGGGAACAGGAAAACGAGAGAGAAGCAGAGCTGCTTGGACATTCTAGCTCCTGCTGCGTTAGTGGTTGTTCTGAGCCATATTCGTGCAAGTGATAGTAGATGGGGTTTTTTTCCCCAAATCCTGGAGTCAGGCCCACTAGCAGCCGTGGAAGCAGACTGGGCAGAGGGGGTGTGGAGGGCTGCTCCTGCTGGCTGCCTCTGCGCTCCTAAAGGAGGTACCAGCAGGATGTAGGCATCGGCACTGGGATCTGATGGTGCTGTTCAGCTGCTGAAGCAATTAAGCAACCAGCGTATTTCGGTGTGTATATGTAAGCTCCAGCCCAATCACTGTTCTCCCAAACATCCTCCAGGCAATCCTGGGCACCTTGCATGGGACAGGGCCCGTTCCTGGGGGCAGTTTGGGTAGAATCACCCCAGTCAGACAGGTTTGGGCCCTGTGGCCATGGCCCATTCCGTGCTGCACAGGTCTCAGCTCTCAGGCAGGTTTCACACACTGGTGTTGCCAGTTCACTGGGTGTGGAATGGCTGGCCTCAGGCTCTCTGCAGGGTGTGCAGCACAGCCATCAGATCATCAGATCTTAACCACTCCTTCTAGGACAATGCCTGAATTACCTCTGTGGCTTTTCACTGGACTGACACCAGTAAGTCCCTGTCTTGCCCTGGGGAGCCCAGAGCTGAGCACATCACACCAGGGGTGGTCTCACCAGTGCTGAGAGAGGAGAGGGATCACCTCCCTCCATCTGCAGGTCATCTTTGCTGTTGAATCTTTTCTGGCATGTTGTCTTCCAGCCCGTCGTTCCACCAGCCCCTACTGGTGCAGGGGGTTGTTCCTCCCCAGTGCAGGACTGGGCATTTCCCTTTGAACTTGATGAGATTCTTCTGGTGCCCATTTTTCCAGCCTGTCGTCCTCTAAACGGCGACACGATCACCTGGAGGATCCACCATTCCTCCCAGTTCTGTGTCCTCTGCAGGCTGGCTGAGGTTCTTCACTGTCCCATCATCTAGATCCTTAAGGAAGATGTTAAATGGCTGGACCCAGCACCAAAGGCCGGGGAACTGGTGGAGGTGAAGAAGAAATGAAAACAGAAAAAAACCCCATTGTTTAAGCTTTGTGTGGAGAAAGGGTGAAGGATTTGCAAGGTCAGTAACACCAGAAGTTGCACAGCAATGTAAATAGCTTACTTTTTCCATTATTCTGAAGTAAAAAGAAGCATTTTCCATAGGCTGTGTTTGTCTTCTGTGTGGTTTCTCCCAGCAGCACGAGAGTATTGAGGCTTCTGTCTCAAAGACCCACAGGGAGAGAGGAGGAGGGTGGGGGTAGGAGCTGCCCACCCCGACCCTGCCAGGCCTCGGCAGGGAAATCTCAGCTCCTGCTGAGGCAGCAAACTCCAACCAGAGTCATCCCGAGGGCAAACGTGTCCTCAAGGATAAATTGTGCAAAACAGAGAAAAAAATGTGGGGGCGAAGGGGAGAGAGAGACAGCGGCACAATCTCTTGTGTCCTTCCCCTTTTGCAGTTGTTGCTTTCGTGGCAAAACGCGGCCAAATTTGCTTAAAATTCATTTGCAGCTTCTCGTGTCTTGAAACCAGAGAGAAGAGGTTTCGGGGGATGACCAGGGAGTTCCAGACCCTCAGCAGAGACTCGGTTTTGGCCCGGCCATTGGGTGCCAGGTGCCTTTCTGTCCAACTGGTGGTGAAACCCGCGGTGAGGAAAGATGCTGGCGCGGGGTGACCGGGGGCAGAGCCTTTGCCTGACCTCGCCAAGTGTGACACGGGGCACCGGGCTCAGTTACTGGTTACAAACAGCTGAACCAGCATCACCAGGAGCAGCTCCCTGATGTCACTGGCACCACGGCTGTAACTCGCTTCATGGATTTATAAGGTTTAAAATCTGTTGCATTTCCCCCCTGCCCCTCTGTCGGGAGAGGCTCCAAACTCCTGCTTTTGTGCAGACAGAAGCCACTTTCCAACTTTCATTCAAATTTATACACTGTTCAGAGCACTCCAGTCCTGTGCCAGTCTTTCTTTAGCTCCAGTAGTTATTTTCTCTCCTCTTGGGGTTTGTCTCTTTGTTTTGGTTTTTTTCATGAATAGCAATAGGGTCTGCCTGCATTTTGTGTCATTTCTGCCAACGTCCAATTCTCTATTCCCCAGTGTCACCAAGAAGCTGGTGACATGAATTCCCTGTTCTGGGCTGTGGCTGCGCAGAGCTGAGCACTGCACTTAGGCTTCAATGTGCCCGTACTAGTTACAGTTACTTATTTATAGTTATTTATAGCAAAGATTCTAAAAATTAAACTTCCCGATGGCTACTTCCGAGCTCATCTGTAGGTTTTGTAGCCCCTGCAACTAAGGAGCTCTGCAGCAGTTTTCTGTTGTCCCCTGGTGTGTTAGGCACCTTTGAACCACTTTTTGCTTTATAGCTACTCTTATCTTCATCTTCTCACGTTTTATTACCCATTTCCCACCCATCAGTCTCTGTTATCGTTTTTATTACTGAAGAAATGACTGTATTTTATCAGCCCAGAACACCATTCATCAGCGCCACGCTCGGGATTAGTCTCGCACACTCGCACGTGCCTTTGGTGAGACGGGGGGTGTTTTCTGTCCCCTTTATCAGCGTTTCTTCAGCAGATCTCCACATCAAACTGCCAGAGCCTCCCCCACTGACGGCATCTCCTCCTCAGCCCAGCTCTGCGCTCACTCACTGCACAGTGGGTAGAGTTTGGGGGTGTCCTGCCAGACTCTTGATTCCCTCTTTGCTCTGCACGACAGGAATTTCTTCCCACCTCTTTCCTTCTCCGTTTCTCCCTTCACTCTTGACACTTGGGATGTGGTTATTGTCACCTGCAGGGTCCCAGCCCCGTCCCAGCCCTTTCCACACACGGAACAGGGATCGGTGACACTTTCAATGGATCCATTGAGGGGAGTCCCCGGCTCCTGCGCCCCCCGGCCCCTCGCTCCCGCTGCTGCTGCTGCAGCTGGTAAGTGCATTCCCTGTAAATTATTAAGGCTTGCCATTAAACCAAAGTTTTCCCCTTAAAATACACCCAAAAACCATTTAAAGATGTCCACATCTTAGAAAGCCAGAAAAACAGAGTTCCCTGTAATTTATTCAGGTCCCCTGAAAGAAACACTGTCAATGTCCTTGAGAAACGGAGAGGAGCCGCACCACCGACCAGAAAATCATATGCCTTTTATTTAACAGAAAAATGAAACATTAAGATAAAATACACGTTTGTCCATGTGCTGAAGAACTACTGTATTTTACATTCATTTATAAAGCAGGTAGTTTTACACGGCAAAAAGAAGAGAGAGGGAGAGGGACAGACTCCGCAGTAAGACACGAGCCACGGGGCGGGCTCTGGTTGCCCAAGGGCTACCCT